GGCTCTCAGAAGAGCCAGCCTTTTCTATAGGACTTAAGGCTCTTCATCCGGATATCCCTCTTAATGAAGGGTCGGTAACCTCAGATACGTTTTTGCAGACTCGTACTGTAGGGCTAGCTGAGGCTAGGAAGGAGTTGGTTTGCTGGAAGGAGCCGGCCCAAGAGGAGGTGTCTAGTCTAGAGACTGTGAACAGAGCAGTAGAAAGGGTATCTGCTAGTACGGTAGAGGAATGGGTAGCTCAGGGCTTAACGGTGGTTCAGCTGCCAGGCAAGGCAGTTCTAACACGGAAGTCCGGGACGGGCAAGAGGCGCTTTAGGGCTGTTTGCTGCGGCAATCATTTACCGACGGATAAGTTGGGGCTTACACGCGACGAGCTGTATGCATCAGGTGCGGAATCTCTTACTGTGAAAGTTGCCATCACGTTCGCTGCCCGCCATCCTGAGTGGAGTGGCGTGACCATAGATGTTAAGTCTGCGTTTCTATATGCCCCTATCAGGGGTGACTCTAAGGGTACTGAGGAGCGTATAATAGTAAAACCGCCTTTTCTCCTCGTTGAACTCGGACTGTTGAAGAAGGAGGACCGATGGTGGATAAGGAAGGCGTTGTACGGACTACCTACGTCCCCTCGGGACTGGGGTAGATATAGAGATGCAGAATTCGCGAAGGTCCGCATGAGGTGGCAGGGACGCGAGTTTCAGCTTTGGCAGACGAAGACCAACGACGCATTGTGGTTGCTGCGGGCCGTGAGTGAAGGAACTTTGGGGCCGATTGAGGGAGTCCTTGTTGTGTACGTCGACGACCTGGCGGTGTTCGCCCCAGAAGGTTTGGCCAAGGAGTTCATTTCTGCAATCCAGGCTAAGTGGAAGACGTCGCAACCTGAATGGTTGGGACAAAAGGCTGTAACGTTCTGCGGAATCGAGCTTGCGCTTTTGCCTTCCGGGTATAGGATGAGCCAGCGGGCTTACATCCAGGAGATCCTTAATCGCTACAATGTTGAGGAGACAGCGCCAGTGCCTATACTGAAGTGGGTGGAACCGGAGCTGACGAGCGATCCCAGTATTGACGAAGTGCGGGAGGCTCAAGGTCTGACGGGGGCACTGTTGTGGGTGTCCACTAAGACGCGTCCAGATTTGGCATACGTGGTTTCTCGGTGTGGACAACAAGCCACGAAGGCCCCGCAATGGTCAATATCGGCTGGGCGCCAAGCTTTAGCGTACCTTAAGGGTACGTTGGATCTGAGTATCGAAGTTCCCTTTGCGGTAGGCAACCCCTTTTCTGAGCATGGGCTGCTAGCGACCCCTAGAACGGATAAGGTTTTGGAGTTGTACACGGATGCTTCTCATAGCCCGGGAGGGGATCGCTCGATGCAGTCTGTGTTTATAGTTTGGAGAGGAGTGCCGCTGGCCTGGGAAGCGAATCGTCAGCCTTTTACGACGTTGAGCTCAGCGGAGTCCGAGCTAGTTTGCATGGTGCATGGGGTTCAACTGGCTGAGGCAGTACAGCCTTTAATCGATGAGCTGCTGGGTGACGATTCTCTGATTGCCTTGTTGGCCGATAATGAGGCGGCAATTCGATCGTTCGAGACTGCCAGTACGGGGTGGCGAAATCGCCACTTGCGGATGAGGGCGGTGTCAGGACGAGAGAGAGTTGAAGCCGGACTCCTTCGGGTATCCCATCTGCCGGGTGAGTTTCAGTTAGCTGACTTAGGCACTAAGCCCCTCTCTAGGAGCCGTATCATGCAGTTGTTAGAGCTCCTTAGCATAAGGGGATTAGTTGGCGATAGGACAGGGGATGCGCGGGTGTTGAGTCGGCTTACCTTAACGACGGCCCAGTTGCGATCTGAGCCCGCTGAACTGTTGGCAGGCTTGGCCCTTTTGGCTGCGATCCCGAAGGTGACAGGGCAACCTACGGGAGAACACCTTGAGCAGAGCTCAAGTTGGTTGCTTTGGACTGTAGGGGTAATAGTAGCCTTGGCTTGTGCTGTTTGGGGCTGGTGGTTGGTGTTTGGTTTGGGTATTGAGGGGCAAGGAGGAGGTTCTTTCGGGAATTCTGAGGATGGCAGTTGTTCTGAGGGACCAGTTTTGTCTTTGCCAATAATTGTGGAACCCGCTCCAGCACCTGAACCGGAGAGTTTAGCTACCAGTGCTTTGGAACCAGCTGATAATGATGAATTCTCTCCAGAGGAGTGGGAGCAGGCCCAAGATCACTTACGTAAGGAAGAGTTGAGGGTTGGGTTGACTTTGGTTCAGAGGGCTAGGGTACGAAGGGCGATATCCAGAGGTGGGATTGTAGATCCACCCGCTTTCCAGCAGAGATACGGACCTCTACCTGAATGGTGCCTTCGGCCCCTCCGGAAGTTCCTTCTGTTGCTAGGGCTCCTAGGATAGGGCAGGACGTGACTTCAGACTTGTTAGAACGTCATGGAGACTTGTTGGCCGCTTTCTTAGGAGTTCCAACCAGGGATTGGGGATGCCTTGCGGGAGTCTCTAGGACCTTGGGAAGGAATACCCGAATCGTGCTGTTGTTGCATCTTCAGGATACCGGGAGGTTTGATGAACTCTCAGGATTTCAGGTGCAACTTCAGTATGCAGGCGCGGAAACCGGAAGCTGTTGGGTGCCTATTTCAGTTGTGGGCTGGGTGCCTCAGTCAGAGCAAGCCTCCAGTAGCACGGATGTAGCCAGTGGCGTGCTGTCTGATGCGGGGTTACCGGGTCATTCTGTTCCCGAGGGGACTGGAGCTGGCAGAGTCTTTTCTGATCCTAGGGCTCAGTCGTTTTCAGGCCAAGCTTCCAGTAGCACAGATGTACCAGGAGCTTCAGTTACGGTGGAGTTTCAAGCCTTCCATGGTCAAGCGTCTAGTAGCACCGATGTGGTATCTGCTGGGGATGACCTTGGGATCTTAGGGTTTCCGGGTGATGATGCTGGGCTGGGTAGGAGAACACCTAGTCCGGAGGTTCAGGTTGGAGGAAGCTCTAGCAGCCATGGTATGTCCACAGTAGGTTGGGGCTGCTACGAGGACTCTTTTGAGTCTCAACAGGAGTTGGACCGTTTTCCTTTAGTTGGGACTTGGTTGGTGGTGCATTATTTGGTTCAGTTGATGTCGTTTCAAGGTCATAGGATTTTGTGGTTCTTGGGTGAAGGCTCGTGGGATTGGTTGTTGCTTAGGGTGACTTCGGCTCCGGTTAGGTGGGCCATAGTAGGGGCGCTAGCGGATGTTTGGAGACAAGGCCCCAACTACTACATGTTTGACGGTCCCCAATGGCAGGCCTCAGTCGAAGATCATCTGTGTGTTCGGGTAGCTGTCCAACGAGCTGAGAGAAACAGGATAAGTCAGGTTAGTCCCTCTCGACCGGCCGAGCAAGGTGTTTCTGTTCAAGACAATACGAGGGATGAGGAAGATGAAGAAATCGACAATCGTCCACATAGGGACCCCCCAAGGGTGGGTAGGCTGGTTATGAGGTTTGTTGACCCAGTCTCTTCCTCGGAAAATGAATCGTCTACCACGGAACCGTCTCACCCTGAGAGTGAGATTGAGGCTTCTGACAGGGAGCCCTCCCCAGGAGGGCTGGGTTCTGTAGAGGTGAGTTCAATAGGCCCTTTGGTGAGGTACTCGGTTGGTGACGGGGCTTTGAGGGTTCATTATGCGGATGATAGTTTTGAGGTGCCTTTGGAAGGATGGACAAGTGAAGCAATTCAGGGCATTGTAGAGGGCCTTCAGACGGGTGTGTGGCTCGACTGGAGTCAGGCAATACAGGGTCCTGAGTTCAACCCCTCTTTGAGTGCATCTGCCCCGATGAGCGAGACCCACACCAGTAATGTAGGACTAGCAGCCGCGGGATTTGGCGGGGTCTGGAGTGCTTGGTTTCGGATCCTAGTTCTGTACTGGGTGTGCGTCGTTGCGGCTCAGGGTTCGGAGAGTTCGGCACTTGAGGTTGTAACCCCGGTTGCTCCTTCAGATCTTGTCTGTAGCCAAGGGTTGCAGGTTCGCTCGGGCACCAGGGAAGTTGGAGTTCCGGAACCTCCGGGTTACTGTGATGGTTCTACGTTGATGTATGTGATAGGAGCTGTGACAGGGATAATCGTCTGGGAAATCATGCGTTGGCTGTTTCGCTGTCTTCGGCAACCTGCCAGATGGCCGACAAAAGGTTGCCAAACTGACGATTTTGGCATTATCCCCTTGCCTTTGCCAGTAGGTGTCCCATACCGAGCAAGGATACTTTATAGCTTCTGGCGGGCAGGATTTAAGATAGACACTGACGCCTATCCAGAGGAAATACAGGATGAGGTTTGTTGGTTGATCGGTGACTATTTGAAGCGTCTGGAGGATGGTGGGTCTCCTCATAGTGATTCCTCTGGAAATGGCTAGGAGTTCTCCTGACAATGTCAATCGAAGAGGCTGAGGTGAAGCCAGCAGTCTTTGATTATCTGGCCCATGGGAATGGAAGGCCCTGTTTAGAGATATCCGGCTTTTAGAGCCTATGCACTAAGTTGCGTTGGCTTGGTATATCTAGGGCATATCTTTGTGGATTTCCAGGGTCAGGGGTACAGCGGATGCTGAAGGTTCGAACCGAATTTTCCCTTAAGGGGAATCCTACACCAGAAACAGGTGGGGACTCGGAATGGAACCCAGTTTTTGTCCGAAGTTGTTTCGAGGAAGAGTTCCGGTGTTAGCCCGTGGTCTTGTAAGATCCGTGTTTTCCTAGCTTGGCGCCCCGGTCACCCTGTCTTTGGAGGCCAGGGTGAGGGGGAGTGCGTGCGGTGATGCTTGGGGTTTGGGAACGGGTAAGGGCATGGGAACTCCTCGTTACCGACAAGGCTGTTTTCTGGCTTTGAAAAGAAGGTCTGTCGCGTGAGTTGTCAATCTAAGAGTGTCTTAGTTTACTTGCTCCGGGATCTAGGTATTCATACTTCACATATTTCACGTAGGTTATCAGCCGTAGGCTAGCTCTGTGTGGGGTTAGAGGCCGGTAAATAAGGTTGTCCTTTGTAGTCCCTGGGCCATGGATACTGTCGCTAGGAGAAGGCGAGGATCTCTGGGTGCTGGGGAGCAGGAGGCAGAATTGATCGATCGAGAAGTTGAGTTTCAAACAGCCTTGGGTCAAGGAGGTAGTAGTGACGATGCGCTGGGTGGATTCCTGCACGGTGATGCGTCACCGGGGACTTTGGAGTCGGGCGGCGTGGTGGGGCCGAATGTTTCGGTCTCTGGTCAGCTACCAGTGGCAAATCCTTTTCACTCTGACCGAGTAAAGTCGGAGGTGCAGTTGTTGAGGAATCGCCCGGCGACGCTGGACGAGGATGCAGCGAGACTGAGAACTGAAGTGGATGATACGGCGTTAGGAGATGCTGCGGTTGTTGGTGGCAACCGGGAGCCGGACTATGGTTTGTTCCTGGGACCTACTGGCGAGGGAACGGCGGGACACCCCCGGGTGGCCAGGGTGGAATCTGCTGGTACTGCTCCGGTTCTTAGCCAGTCGATGGGAACAGAATGGAAGCCGGAGGTTGCCCAAGAAGGGGCCACCATTCGGGCTCAGGAGTCAGACTTTAGAAGAGTTGTCCAGGGCGATTCAGGCGAGGACCCCGAAGCTGGGATAGAGGAAGAGCAGAGGGAATTGATTCCGGTAGAAGAAGATCGACTCTCTCGTGTGGAAGCTCTGCTAGCCCGGGTGTTGCAAGAGAACGAGTCCCTGAGGAGACAGGTCCAAGCGGAGTCTAACTCCAGCTTCCAAAGCGCCAGAACTCCGGCCGACCAGCCGGCTTCGCCGATGTCGTTTGGGTATGGACGGTTTATGCCTGAGGCGACACCTAGCTCATTTCCGGATGTACAGTCAGGAGACCGTAGAATGCACAGTGATTTCCCGGGTGGTTGTCCAGCAGGGTGGTTCGTGGGCTCGAATGTTATTCCGGGAACTCCACATGCTATGGTACGAGCAAGGCCCCCTCAAGTACCGTTCATGGGGCCTCCAGGGATGGGGTTTAGGGGACAGGAGTTTGGAGCCCCAGGATTGCTACAGGCTGAGTGTTCGGGGTTTGGGCGGGGGTTCGGGGATAGTTTCGAACAGAGACCTGCTCCTCCTCCTGCTCCAGTACCGGTGCCGCCCCGTCCTGAAACCCAAGTGAGTATACCCCAAACTATGAAGCAGTTTACTTCGGCGGCGATGTTAGCGGGCTTCGTTCAGGGGGAGGCGGGACAGGCAGGGTTCCATACACCTAGGTCCGGTTGTGGAAATTCTTCGAGGTTTGATGCCGAAGGTTACCTGGTATCCCCGGGAGGGACTAGCATTAAGCCACCTGCCTTGCCTCCTCCGGCTTCTCCGCGTGACCCGCTGGCGGCTTTCGCGATGACTCCAAGTGGGCTTCGAGGTGCGCCTTGGGGGGCGTCAGTTCCTAACGTAAGTCATGAGTCTAGTAGGGGATTAGATAAGCCCGAGGAACCGGCTCGCTACATTGATTCCCTACCCAAGTTAGCACAGGCAGACCTTTCAACTTCGGCCGTTACCTGCGGTAATTGGCTAGCTCAGGTGAAACAGATATTTGTGGGGCTATCGCCGGGTGCGGTTGAATGGTATGCCAGTGTAGAGGGGGCAGCGTACGAGTCGTATCATAGATGGCTTATGGCGGACCCGCTAGGCAGGTTGTCGGTTGATCCTAGCTCGGTTGTAGCGGGGTTCGATGTCTTTAGGTTCCAAAGGGTGGAGTCGAGGGCAGTTACGTTGCTGTTGGCTGCACTCCCATCTTCGGTAAAGGATGACTTGGTAATGAATCGTTGGCTGAGTTCGGCGGCAATTCTCTTTCGAGTTTTGTGCATCTGGCAACCGGGAGGGTCAAGCGAGAGGGCTCATCTTTTATCTCAGCTAGTGCAGCCTGAGGTGTGTCGTAGCTTTAAGGAGGCCCTTCCAGTGTTGCGTAGATGGCAGCAGAATTTGCAGCGGGCGCGGGAAATCCAAGCGTCTTTACCGGATGCTTCGCTTTTGATCAAAGGAGTTGACCAAGCGACGTCAACTATTTTAAGTGCACATCCAATGATCGGTTTCAGAGTGAATGCTTTCAGACATCGTTCGGGGTTGGATTACAACCCTAGCACAGCGGGGGTGGTTCAGCTGGTAAGGTTGGTCCAGGCAGAGTTTGAAGCTGCAGCTCTAATAGCTGAGGGTTCATCTGAGAAGCGGCCGAGAAATGCAGCAGCGTCGGCTGCTCTTCCCCGGGCCGAAAACCCGACTCCTCCTGCTGTTAAGGCGGGACCTGAGGCTCCTCCTTCCGTTGCCAGGGTACAATCCACGGAAGGAGAAGCAAAGGGTGGAAAGAGTAAGGGTAAAGGTAAAGGGGACTCGAGCTCTGCTCCTTTGTGTCATAAGTTTACTGATGGTACGGGTTGCCGGTTTGGTGATTCGTGTTTGTTTAAGCATGATCGCTCGAAGGCTAGAAGGGACGGTCGCTGTTTAGCGTGTGGACAGTCGGGCCACTACAGGCCGGAGTGCTCTTTGGTAGCGCCCGAGAACCGGGTGGTCCTCGATAGTGGATCGGAGGCCTCCCCGTCGTCAGGGAATAGTCCCCCCGCTAAGGGCTCAGGCAAGGCTAAAGCTAAGGCTAAGTATCTGGGGCACAGGCTAAGGGCATTACAGAGGATGCGAAGGCTGAGGCCTCTACAAGCCAAGGGTCAGCACCTTCCGGGGGAGCTGTGACTCCTGCGAGTCCCGAGGCGCTAGTGGCCGAGGCGGCCAAGTTGCTCAAGAATGTTTCCCTTAGGCCCCTTAGGGTGGGGGATGTAGACTTGTCGTGGGTAAGGAGTGCCTTAACGAGCGCCTCGGACCCAAACTTCTGCTTGATCGATAGCGGAGCTACGAATGCATTGCGTCCTGCTTGTCGTGAAGAGCTGTTGGAGTGTAAAACCATTAAGGTAGACTTAGCTTCAGGGGAGACCGAGCTTCGTATTAATGGCCATGGTACTCTTCTACACGGGGGTGATTGTCAGGTCATTCTTCCAGCGCAGTATCTCGTGGATCTGGGGTACAACATCATGTGGCGCCGGAAGGGTTGCAAGGTTAAGCACCCCAAGAGGGGAGGGCTTCAGGTGACTCTGGTAAAGGGGTGTCCTTTGATTCCCAGGGAAGTGGGGTTACAGCTGTTACAGGAGTATGAAGAAAAGAGGCCTGGGCTACCGGTTTTGAGTAAGACTGAGGTACAGGACTTGGTATCCAACATGTCGCCTAGGGAGCTTAGGTTGTGGATGAAGGAACGTGTGAGGGGTGGGATCTTTTCGGAGGTGGATCAGTTGGTTTTCCTTCGGACGGTGTTCCCTTGGGTTCCTTTGAGGGTACTGGTCGGCGCGTGCGCCCCTCGTCTAAACGAAAAAGCGGTGGATTGGACCGAATTGCCCTGGAATAGGAGATTTCGCAGATCGGTGTCTAGAGCACCGGTTGGATCCGTCCTGTTGGCGGTATCCCCGTTTATGTCGTCCTGGAAGGGGCTGGGACAAGTCGTTCAGGTTGCGGATTCGGATAGGGGTCTAGGGTCTCAGTTGGTGTTCCAGCTTGTTATGAGTTGGGCGGAGAAGGGTATTCTAGGTGGCTTTGTTAGGGGCGAGCACGGCCATAAGGAAGCTAAGGGGTTTTGCCCGGACCCTACCTGGGATTTCCTAGTGAGGACTGTAAGGGATCAACAAGGCGACTGTTCTGAGGAAGGGTACGTCGGACTGGTGCGGTTCCTGCGATTTCTTTTAGCATTTGCAGTAGCTCAGGCTAGCAGAGATATTAGGGATTCGGACGATACTTTGGGTGATTCTGTAAGGGGATCTGAAGGCCCGGGCCCGGTTGAAGTGCGGTGGATTGAGGGGGAGAACCCCTCCGAGCGGTTGAAAGTCGATCAGGGTCAAGGGCTGAAAGAGGAAATGGGAGCTGGAGACTTGAGCTCTGGAGTGTTCCTGGTTTGCGGTTCTGGGACGGGATCATCAGGTCCATGTCCCGGAGATACCCGGGACGTGCTGGGATCTTTTAAGACGGCTTATGGTCTCTACGAGGCGAGCTTCGACCAGGGCTGCTTGGGGGCTCCAGGGATTTACGCTTCGCAGATCGTGACTTCCTCCTGGTTCCTTTACGAGAATCTGCATGAAGTAAGAGCAACGACTAAGGAACGAGTATCTTTGGTGGCTTTTCAGGAGTATTGCCCAGAGGGATGTGGGTTAAATAGGTGTGGTTGGGTTGGTAATGTTGCGCGGGTCTTCCAGGACCTTTGGGTGAGATGGAAACTCGAGACTCGACGAAGGGAAGAAGTTCTTGAGCGTCAAGTCTTGCTTAAGAAGCTGTCGGACAAGGAACGATATGCGCATCATATAAGGAATGATCATGTACCTTACATGAAGGGTTGCCCTGTTTGCATAGCGGCACAGGGCCGACAACGATCTCATTGGAGAAGCTCCTACCCTGGTGTGCATAGTCTTAGTGTGGATATTAGTGGTCCTTTTCTGTTTGGCAGGTCTTGGGACGTAGAAGCGAGCGGTAGAGATAAAGGGGGTAAGTACCGTTACTTTCTGGCGGGAGCTTACTCGGTGCCTACGACATTCGTTAAGGGGGCCGAGGAAGCAGAAGTGGATTGTGACGAATACGAGCCTTCGGAGTGTGGATATCTGCGGGGAGCTAGAATCCATAGATGATCT